CAAGGGGGGTGCTGCTCACGGGGGGGACCCAGCCCCCTTCAGCAGGTACCCTGAGCGGGTACATGCCACGCTGGCACCCCAGGGTGACAGGCTACACCCACTACCTGGACACAGTGGGTCCGTTCCCCTGCGTGTCTCAGTGATCCCTGGCACAGCTCCCCAAGCTGGACCTGCACAAGTGCAAGCTTCCCTCGCCCCAGGCCTTCCTTGCCCCTGCAAAGCAGCATCCAAAAGCCTCTCGCCTATTTTATGAACTTAGTGATCTCCAAATCCTTTATTATAAGATGTAACTTAATAAAACTCATTGCTAAAAACAAACAAACCAACCAACCGTAACAAGGTGGCTGGAACAGCAGGCATCAGATGTCCTCAACTCCAGCAGGTCAGGGAGAAAGCCCTCATTAGCTCACATCACACCATTAATTAGCTGAAAAAGTCCCTGCCAAAGGCCTGGCAGAACTGCATCCAGAACCTTTGCCGAGACCTGTCTGGGGCCAGGTTAGACGCGGTACAGGGAAGGCGTGCACGCTCAGGGACAGGCGAGTATTTGGGCGGGTGCTGCAGCCGGACAAGTTGGTCCCATAGAGGGGCAGGATCAGAGCAGGGAGGGTGCTCGCCCCTGCCTGCTGCTCCCCAAGCATCTGCTTTCTACCTGCTTGCTCTAAAAAAAAAAAAAGCGATGCTGCATCAAGGGAGGTTTGCCGCAGACCAGCAAGGCTGAGGTGGGTGCGAGCCTGGTACCCGTGTTCCCAGCAGCACACTTGGCACAGCCCCAGCCCCTGAAGTTGGGCTGTTTACACCAGGATTGCGCTCTTGCTCTGAATTACCTCATCTTGGGCTCGAGTCCCACGTCACGAGGGAGGAAAAGCAGCAAAGGGTCTCAGTGCCTGGTCACTTGGTGGATGACTACAGCAAGGCTAAACCCAAAAGCCTACTCAGCACACCAAGAAAGCACACACCAGGAAGGAAAACAGGCACGAGTCCATGTCTGCCCTTGTAATAAGATAAATAATTGAAGATGAGATTTCTCAGTTCCTTCCCTGGGAATTCAGGCTTAATGGGCCAGACTCAGTAACAGCAGGCAGATGTGAGACTGCCAATCTGAACACAACCACAGCTGCCTGGTTCAGGGCTGGGTTTGACCCATTATTTATGATTTTTCCCATGCTTACTGGAGAATATTCTGTTTTGCTCTCCTAGGGCAGGAGCAGAGGGGCAGTCGGACTTCCCGAAACATCGGTGGGTCCCAGATGACCACATCCACAGGGGGCGATGGGGACAGAGGAGTTGTTGGCATCACCGCTGCAGCTGGAAGTTGCTGCCAGTTACTGAATCCACCAGCAGCTTCCCTCAGATCCTCAATTTGCTCCAGGCAGGACGGAAACTGTCACCAGCAACTGAATGAACAGTTTAGAAACACTCACCTGAGCTAACATCAATCTATTTTGCCTGAAGCAAGCGGAGACAGACCAACAGGACAGCATGGCCCTCCAGAGCCAGATCAGGAGTGGAGACGTCCACAGGTTCACAGCTGAGGCCTCGCTACAGAACAGTCACACAGGAGAACAAGGAGAGTCTCATCAGCACATGCTCCACCATCCTCGCACGCTCTTCTAGGGAGAACGGAAAGGCTGCTGCTCCTCTCGTCCACCTCGATCAGTGTTTATTGTGGCTTTGCAAAAGAAAGGATACACACAGAAGCAGGAGATGCCTCCTCACCCATCTGCAGGGGCTTGGCTCCAGATCTTCTTCCTGGGCTTGAAGGTGAGAAGCAACAAGCTTGGAGCGACAGCGCAGCGAGCAGGGTGCGTATTTGAAAGCACCATTCCAGAGGCAACCCATAAAAGAAAGAATAAAGGAAGTTACCTAAACTCACCTGAGGAGCGGGTGGTGCAGATCCTGAGAAGAGCAGCTTTAAGGAGGAACAAGAGGGAGGGGAAAAAAAAAATTACATTTGCAAGCAAAATGTGCCAGGAGAAACTCAGCTTGTCCTTTCCCAGTCCCTGCAAACCCCAAGCCGCTTTCGAGAGCGGCTACAAAGCACAGCTAGGACAGAGGGCTTATTACTGCTGGCGTTTTGGTTTGGGCCAGAGAGTACAGGACACACGTAGTGTCACCCTGCTCTTATCCAGCCTCACCTCCAAGCAGCAAACAAAAGGAAGACGAGACAGAATACTTATCACAACACAGATTTAATTTCTTAGGCAGTTATAAAATTACAAAGAGCAATGGGCTAGCAGTGAGAGCCAGACACTTGGTGAGGTGGAATGTTAGACAGATTTTTCCACTTATCGACACAGATATCGAACAGAGTAAGTGAGCACTGCAAGATGCGGGCTTTTTTTTGTTTTTTCTCTAAGTGAGGAAGGAAATGCAAGAGCAAATAGGTCCAGGTAGACAAAGGGTTGAGTCAACACCCCACAGAAACCCAGAGCTACAGGTTGGGGAACAACTCCCCGCTCCTGAGAAACGAGTGGGACACATGCAAAGGCAGCACGGGGGGAGCCAGAGTACAGATCGCTGCAGCCGCGTGGTCAAAGCCACAGCACCCAGACATCTGGAACGAGCACAGCTGTAGCTATTCGCAAGCCAGAATCAAAACTTCTTGTCTGTTATTTTCAAGGCAGTGTAAGATGAGATTTGCCAATTTGAAGTGTGTGAAAATGAAGGCAGCATGTTATGGTTAGAAAAATAGGAATTTGCTGAATTCCTTTGGTTGTGCAACTGGAATCTGAGAGGATTTATTTACAGTTGGAGCCATGCTTTCTTCTGTGCAAGCCTCTCACGGTGCAGCAGATTCCAGAAAAACAAAGGCCTGCTGTGCCCATGTGGAGAAGACACTCTGCCTTGCTCTCAGATGTTAACAGGTTAAATCAAGGCAACTGTTAGCCAGGACAGCTGGAGCACGGAATAAACACTTCCCAAATCTCTGCAGCGAGTAATCCCCACCAGTGCTTTGGACACAGACTCCTGCTGCTCTGCAAACAGCAGCGGAGCACCTGCACACACAAGGGTGTACCGAACAGTTCCGTGACCTACAAGGGAAGAAATTCTACCGTCTTACTGCACGTTGCTTTGGTGCTTAAAGCCATCAGAGCCAAGAAAGCAGAGTCTGGGATGTGACAGAGAGAGGGCTGCGGTGATGAGCTAACCTACTCACCGAGCTGGTGGCTCTTCAGTCCATTTCTCCCTTTTTACTGTTACGCATAGGTCAGGCGCACGTCTCCTCTGCGGAGCCACCTGCCGCTGTATTAAGAGCTTTCTCAGATCTTTATTTGCATTCATGAAATGCCACCACCTCGACCCCCACCCTCTGTAGAGAACAGGCCCAAGAAACCTGCTTGCGTACGACCTGAAGCGGCACGGGACGCGCATGCACCTGATCGCAGCGGGAGCACTCGCACAAATGTCTTGCTGAACAGGGCCTCAGAAAAAAAAACAGCTTTTACCGACCTCTTTATGCTTTTTACTTCCTCCTCCTCCGCCAGGCCTAGCCTTTTAACTGCTAGATTTGTATCTACCACTTGTATTTTGGAAACAGTGACATAAGAAGAGTCCAGAGCAGATAAAAAGCTTTCTGTCTCAGAACTAGAAACACAAAGCAGGGTAAACAGACAGATGTCGAGACAGGAGTGGACTACGTACACTCGCTACCTATTTGCACATCAAGAGAAACAGCTCCTTCCCTACGGTACTCGCTGGGAACAGATCCCAATGCAATCTAAGACCTGAGTTTAGGATTCCAAGGTTATAAGCGTTCCCCCTTCCCCAGCTTTGGTTGTTTCAGTTGTCTATCTCTGCCCCAGCCCTCCACAGAGTTAAAAAAAAAAAAGCTATCAAGAAGTGCAGTCTGTACCTAGAGCGACACACACTGCCACAGAGCAAACACTGTCCTTCTAAGGAAGGTCAGACTGAAATGAGAGGGGCTGTATAGGTGTTCCCATGTCGTACGGCTGGAAGCCCATGGCCACAGCACAGGGCTAGAGCCTCCTTGGCTTACCCTGGGGAATCCAGGGCTGCTAAGACCATCAGAATAGAAATGTTTAGCCATCACCTGATCCACAGAGCACAGCAGTGCAATCATATGCTCCGTACTCAGGTGAGGATGCAGCTGCAAACAGCATTTTGGTGTATTTAAGAAAAAATAAATAATCTTTGTGTCATTGGGATGAAACCCCAACCTGAAAGGCTTCTAACTTTGGTAGCATACCACAGCAGGGTGGTTACTGAGGGCCCAAGGCCATCAGAGGGAAATTGTATTAGTTATATTTTATCCAAGAAAAAGTTTGTACCCTCATGCAATGAACATAGGACAAACTACTGTCACCACTCAAATACATTACCAGTGGGGACCAGAAACCACCTGCTCCACTCTACTAGCTTCATGCTGGTCAGTAACCCCACAATATTAATCCTTCTGCTCTAAAAAGTTTTTCTCCGTTAAAACAACAACAAAAAGATAAGATACTTTATCTTCCAGCTTCTACTGAAGAGCAAACCAAGTAGGGCACAGCAGTTCACCAGTCAGCCTGTGACTCGGGAGGAGGAGCGTACTACAGCATATGGAAGACAAACAGTGAATATAGGATCTCCAACTCACCTGTGGAAGGTAAGGTGTAAGAGTTAAGGAAGGGGTAAAAATCAGTACAATAAACGTTCTCAACTTTTAGCAGTAAAAGCAAGTCATTACCTGACAGGGTGTATCTTACTGTGTAACATGGCCTTTGTTACACTCAAGAGTTGTAAAACTTGCGTGCTTAGCAGACCTGTGCTGCTTATGCATGTTTACTTGTGGAGTCTATGCCAAGCCTCCAAGTATGTTATCAGGAATGTTACCAGCTTTAGTCTGGAACAAGCAGACATCTGACAGCTCCTGGGTGGTTCAGTTTGCCAGCAAAGCTCACCGAGCTTATATTTCCTTCAAGACTCTTATTTTACTCTCCAGTTATGAGCTCCACAGCAAAGCTGATAGCACTTGCAGTAAAAATATAATTCCAGACCATGGAATTTAGTTGTCAGCCAGAGCTTAAAGTCAAGAGACTAAGCGAGGTTTCAGCATGGCTCAGCTGTTTGCTTTGAATGTAGCTGGGTTCTGGAGAGGACACCGCAAGCCGCTCCAGCCAACTACTTGGGCCAGTCAAGGGTTTTCAGTGAATAAACAAGCCTGATCCCTTCTCTTCCACATGTGCTCATGTAAGAACATCTTCCACATACACGGACTAACAGCAGCCCCTCTGATACAGGCAGCTCTCTGTGCAGGGGCTACCACCATCTTCTGCACTTTTAGAGGCAGGGGAAGCCACCTGCCCAAGCAGGGCTTTGGGGACAAAGACCACTGCCTGCTATTGCTTGAGAGAAGACTCATTAGCAGTACCAAATCCTCAAAGCACATCGCTGTCTAATTGTGGTAGCGAGTTAACATGCAGATGGAGCACTCAGCTTCTGTCCTCCTCTCAAGATCTGCAGTTTCCTTGTCTGTTTTTATTTTTATTCCTTTGCAAGCAATCAGTAGAAGGAAAGGAAGCAACCCACATTGCTACACAAAAGGCAAAGCAGGCTCAATTTGGCAAAGGAAAGTAATACTCACCAAGAACTTTGCTAATCACTTGCTCACTAACCGTTACCCAAGACTTAAGAGAAGGCACATTACAACCCTAAAAATAGTCTGCAGCACTGCTCAGCCTTAGAAAGACCTAGCCAGGGTCAGGGCAGTTAGGGATTTATTCCAAAACTGCCAAAGAGACAACCGGTCTTTGAAGTGTACCACGAGAGGTACTCTGATGAAAGAGAAAATAAAAAAAATTAGAAAAAAAAAGAAAAAAATCCCTGTTCTCCATCACAAGAGAACCCAGAAGAAAACTAATCTTTCAAAATCATTTATATTTACATCAGTATCTGAAAGAAAAAAACCCCATGAACCTTCACTATTAGAGCAGTACACTTGTCCCCAGACTGAAGAGAAGCAAGAATCGCGAGCTATGCCTTCCAGCTGAAAACCTTACGGCTGTTTAAAGAGCAGGGCTGCCATACTCTACAGGGACCTCCATCCAGCCTGACAGAATCCATGCTTTGGATAATTTAAAAAAGTATAAAAAGACATTATTGCTACTCTGCCAAGGAAATAAGACAATCTACAGGAGAGAAAGAAAGTGCATTCCAAGACTTCTCTAAAAAAAAACCTCACAAGCTCATCAGCCCCTATGGGCTATAGATGCCCAGGTACTAAAGGCGTACAAACAAGAGGCTGCAGCCTTCAGTCTAGCTTTCTTCCTGCACCAATTCCTTTTCTTCCCTGTCAAGGCACTTTCTGTATTCTATATCCTCATGCAGGGAATCAATTCCAGTTTTCCATCCCAACAAACAGAACAGTCCCACAAATACACAACATTCAGAAGGAATTTTAATTAACAAAATGGTCCAGGAAAGGGGAGGGAGAACCCAAAAAACCAGGCCATTGCATTTGAAAGGTTGCATGTCAGTCGCTAGGTATGCCTGCAAGCCCATGCACAGGAAACCATTTGGACCTTTGTCAGTGCAGAACTAGTCTCAGCTTCCAGAACCACTTCTCTACTCCTTCCTTATATAAGCTAAATATTATATACATATATAAAAAAAATACAAACTTGGGTTTGTTATAAAGTGGCTTCTCTCTCTCTCCCCCTCCTATGCTTGCTTGGCACATGAACGCATGCAAAGCTAGTAGGCTCCGAGGGCTGCACAAACAGCAGGTTTTGGCAACAAAAAAAAAAAATAAACACAGCTAAAATAGATAAGCAAGATTAAAAGCCACTGAATTGAAAACCATATATTTTTCCAATTGTATAGAATCAGAACTACAGCTACGACTTAAAACTGTAAGAGTCTGTCATCCTCTCTCCCAACTCATGTCAAAGTTCATAGCAGCATAACACGAGATTCCTCAAGAAACATCAAGCCAGTGTTCTCTGCTTCAGGAGTGAGTTCACAGGTCAAAGTTTAGTCTGTCCGAAGGATCATGGGAGGATGCTCACTGTCTTCGTCCAATCTGAGTGAGTTGGTTTCATCTTCCAGGCAAACTCCACCCACGGCACCCAGGTCATCTGTATAGGCTGGAGAGAAAGGAAAAAGCAGCTGGAGGATCAGCAGCACAAACTAAGGCTTGGATCCAAAGTGAATGATTAGAGCTGAAGTACTTGCAACAGTTTCACTGCCACCCTATGTTTGCTTTTATTATGACTGCGTTTCTCCAAGCCAAGAGCAGTTTATGATCAAAATTAAACATGTGTACTTGTGCGCAATGTGTACTTGTGCTTTGGACAGGCTGATGCTTTTCTTCATCTCCACCCATGCATTACAGCTGCAACTGCAGTATTCATGCTACACATGCAGCCTGTCCTTCCTCTGCAGCTGAAGCACTGACCTGACTGCCATACTAAGATGGTAGAAGCTCCACTCAGAGAGCTGCAGCAATAGCCATATTCTCATCCTCTCAATTTAACAGAGCAGCAAATCAGGCTAAAAGGTCACTGTTCCCATAAAGGAACGATAGGAGCACTTATCAACCTTGTTTTTTTAAAAAAAAAAAAAAAAAAGGAGGGACTATAATTCAGATGTTTTGCACGAGGTTTGGATGCAGAACTGTATAAAGTAATTGTGTCAGGGCATCTCAAGAACCATATGGCAAGTACTGCAACTATCACTACAGCAGTCAATCACAATTCAAGACAAAGTTCTACTCAGAAAGTAGCAAAGATGAGTGATGCATCTATAGGAGGCTACCGTATATCACAAGTGCTCTTTTCTTACTGCTCACCAATGCTCCACATCACACCCGCAGTTATGAAAAGCTCAGTGTTGAAGTAGAATAGCTCACGCAGCCATCTAGAATGAAGCAATACGCAGAGGTGCGCTCTGCCCCGTTTCCAGCCTTCTCCTTACCATGCCTTGTGGGTGAGGAAGGCACATATGTACCTTTAGTCACAGCAGCACTGTATGTCTGCGCTACCAACGGCCGGTCATGGGATGCAGACTCTAGAATTTCGTTGGCTGGCTCCATACTGCCATCAAGCCTACCAAGCAGAGGGAGGTTAGCTGGAGAGGTGATCTACCTGGGCATAACACAGCTTTAGTTGATAGCTACAGAAGAATATCTCATTGAACACACAAGAATAATACATATACACATGCAACAGGAGGAACTTGGTCCCTCCACTCCAGAGGACTGTTAAGAAGGCATCCGACAACACTTTGTATTGAACACTGAAGACACATCAGCGACATGCTTGTCTCTGACATGGCATCAGAATATAAATCCTAGTAGCTGACGCTATGAAAAAACACCCAAAACAAGGCTGTATCATTAAAAAAAACCCCCTAACAACCATTCCAATCAGCAATATTACAGATCTGTCTCTTGAGCTCTGCCCACAAGAGAAGCGGTTGCTTCTTACACTAGAAAAGCCTCTAGCGAAGGTATGTGTATTAGAGCACTTTAGAGATTAAGAACTTGATAAAAACTTCCCTCTGAGACTTCACTTCATCTACAAGTGAAACCATATGTCATACCCTAAAATGTTCAGATAAAGGCATGATTTTTGACCAGTATTATAGACTGACCAAAGCTGTAAACCTGAATTATCATTGTGAGTTACTGGCTTTAATTCTATGATTGATCTTGTAAGTAATCCGACTATATTACCCTAGCTTTTCCTGCCAAACCTTATTAAAAAATAACAATGCCTTGTCATATTTTCCTTAAGCATTCTACAGTGCTGCTACAGAACATGAGTTCTCTGGCCTATATGCAAGGAAGTTTAATAAGGACACCAGTAGGAGAGAATACAGAAAGTTTCACAGGCCAGATTCCCCTCTGTGAAGTCAGAGTAACATCTCCTTCTCATCTCTGTCATGGCTTAATTTATTGATGAAGAGGATGGTGTCAGATGTTTCAAGTTCTTGTTTAAGTAACTCAACTCAAACTGCCAAGTAAGAGGAAACAGGATCATACAGCTAATAGCGATTGATCCTTCACCGCAATCGGACGGTGTTAAGTTTCTGCTGGTAAAGCGGTGCTTTGTGTAGTAGATACTAGGAATGCAGGCACAGGGGGATTCTGAAGTTACTCATTCATGTCAGAGGTCTGGAAAAAGATTGCTTTAAAGAAATGAGCTGTTCTAAGTTAAACTTTTTCAGAACAGAACTAAGTTTGAGAACAAACTGGATTTTGAAAAAGAAAAAAAAAATCAAATACAACAGTCCTCAGCTAATGTGGACTTACTTGTGCTGCTTCATTAGTGTGCACTCTCCTCCTTCTTGGGGATCTAGGTTGTACATGTAGAGATATCCATCAGCAGCTCCCACTAATAAACGAGGGATCTTCTGGATTCTAGAAAGGTTTAGGGGAGAGCAACAGATTAGTAAGAGTTTCCCATCAGCACACTCTCCTCCCCTCCCATGATTTAAGCCATTATTTTCCACACTCTTGCTTCTAGACAGGGAACACTTAACTGTTCAGAGCCTAGACAAGAACTGTGCAAAAAAAAAAAAGGCATAACCACATTTTGGGGCAACGGGATGCCACAGGAATAGTGACTTACGTATAACCCAGTAAAACAGATTGAAGAGTTACCATCCTGTTACCAGGCTTTGTGCAACTCGAGACACAAATATTCCAGTGGGAAGCATTTACTGATTTCAGAAATGTTACAAGGCTTCGTTATTGCTTAAAAGGGTGCTTTGAGATCAGAGAAGTGAGAATACAGACATGAAGTCAGTTTAGCATAAAAACTATCACAAAATAAGTTGACTACTGCTCAGCTTATTGCTGTGGTGGCTGTGCCAAATGGGACCTGCCTTTGGTGAAGACAGAATAAATATTAGATTTAGTCCTCAAAATTACTTTTAATGAATGCTACGCTGTTTTAGAGACATGAATAACACAAACTTGCTTTCAAAGACTTCTTTAATGGTTAGTCTGGATTGCCTAATTTTGCAATTCGCTAACACAACATACAGTATCACTCCCCCAGCACTAATAGAAACAAATGCCCATAAGCCCATAGGTCTGTTCTCAACATTCTTCTTTCAAAATTAAAAGGCTATTTCTAAGCATTGTTTAAAGATGTGTATTATCCAAATATCATGTGTTTCCCTCCACCCCTCACAGGACTACGAGGTGTTAGCTCTAACACATTGCTCTTAAACTGGAAGAGGCTCTGAAATGATCACAGGGGATCCACTGCTCTGTGTGCTGCCCACTCTGCTGGAGATGAGGTTACGTTCTAGAGCGTCAGCCTCTCCACAGCCCAACATGGCAACCCAGTGGGGTGGTGAATGCGGGCTCAAGGTCTTTACTCACGTGGCAAGTGCACAGATGTTTTTGTGCCCACAGAACGGCAGGCGGACTGTAGCAAAGGCTCTACCCTGGTTGAACATTTCTGTTACTTGAGAGGGCAGATAGCTCGTCGACGCCATCAGCACTTTTCCAAAGTAACCTGTCCAGGTTGTAGGCTCTTCCTGAGGTCTACAGGTCAGAAGAAAAAAGTGACTGACTTTGCCTTCATATTACGAGAAAGGTGTGTAAACACTTTGAAACATCTTTTTATTTTTAAAGATATTAAGCAGCTATTTGTTTCTCTTCAGAAATAATTAACACCCTTGAGAACTCTAACGCACTCCGTTTATGCTGCAGGGCACAGTATGTCCTACAATACCCTCAGCCTGTTATTTAAGATGTTTGATTGTAAACTGATACTTCTGCTTATAAAACTACATTTCATAAGGTTCATTATACAAGAGCAAGATCCACTGGAAAGTGCTACACTTCAAGATTTTATTCACCTGTTTATCACTAAGCAAATCATTGTTTCCAACAACTTCCACAGAAATGCAAGTAAGACTGTCCTCTCAAATCATAAATAGGAACATTTTACAACTTGGTGCCTTTTAAAGCCTTATAGGCAGCTGGAAGACACTGCTGAGACAGGTCTTCCCATACGGATGTCAGAAGAGGTGACACACAAATGTGACTGAAAATGTGAAAACTGCTCCACATTCCTCTGCCAAGGATGGCCAATTTATCTTTGGCAGTAATACCCTTTCTATTCACTGGGAGAACAGTATGCAGCTCAGCTACAGTTGCTGATTCATAAGTGACTTCTTACGCCCTTTACTTTACAAAAGTGTTCAAAAGAAGTCTGTCCACACTTTGTAGAACTCATCCTGTTGAGTATAATCACAATTTTAAAGCCTTTTCCTTGAAAAATCTAAGGCACCTCTGAAACCTACTTTTCTTTCACAGTCTCAAGTTTGAAGATATGCACCGTCTCTGTGTTACTGGACGCAGACAGAAACATGCCATCCATGCTGAAAGCCAACGAACAGATGCTCACACACCTGGTGGGGGAAAGAAAGGAAAAACAGCAAAGCTTTATTTTTGACATTCTAGTACTGTACCAATTGGTGTAAGAAGAAAGCTAGTGTTAACTAACTCATAGGAACTGACTTAAATAAGAACATTAATTCTCCATTTTGGTAGGTAGGAGTCTTTCTGCACATTCACCACTAAGGAGCTCTGTAACATTCACATGAGCTGTACTGTGAGAGCCTGGAGGAACAGTAGGTAGGCTCATCTGCTCTTCTTCTCCTGTCAGTGATTGCAGGTGACTTGCAATTAAGCCACCATTAATAATAAAAAATTAAGCAGATTTCTCAGTCACCGCTGCTTCGCAAGTAAGAAAAAAGAACATTTCCATAATAAGCATTATGAATTCTGATACCTTCTTAAAGCACTTCAAGAGCAAGATCCCTTTAATGATGTTCAACTCTGATGTATAGCAGATATAGGAGTCAATTAGTAACAATCTGAAGTCACTCTTACCTGTGTATAAAGTACAGTAGAACTACAGAGTTACTAATCCTACCACAAATCATAGTACCACTTCACAATGGCTATCAATGATCACAGCACTAAAGGATTTAGAAGAGAGTGGGACTATTGGATGTACCGCCTCCAACTGCCATAAGAATACTATATATCTTACAAAAGGTGACCCACTTTAAACAAGTTCCCTCACCAATAAATTTTTAAAAGGCAAGAGGGAATACAATTCTGACAGGACTGATTTGTAGAATAATGTCCAAAGGAGTGAAACTGGAAGACATTCAAGCTTAAACTGCTCTAAGTGTACAGGCAGGGATGAATGAAGATGAAAATAGGCAAAAAAATTAGGATGCCAGCTCAACTGCAGAACATTAACTAGAGATCTACCATAAGGAATGAGCTGCAGATGATTAGCCCAGTTGAATTTTACCTCTTCACTCCCCTTCGGAATTCAAAGAGTTTCTGTCCCTCTGGAATGGAAAACACTCTTATTACTGTCCCCTGTAAAGAAAAAAAAAATAAAATAGAATTTGTTTTTCATTTCAAGCTCGCTCCTTGTGTATGAGCTCTAGTGAGCAGAGTACAACTACAAGCAGAAAACCATTTTGCTGTTAACTTTTTGCCGTTGATGCACACCACATACTAGCATGAAATATTTATGGACCTTCTTCGTAGGATGTGTTTGAAGAGTAGAGAAACAACAAGAGGTGGGAGTTACTAACGTAAAGAACAAGCTATGCATGAAGAACAGCCCTTTTTATCATGTTTGGTCATGAAAATAACCGCACTAGACAAGTACCACAAGTACAGTCACTGGATGTCTTTGTGCCTTTATCAGATGCAATCAGTTGCACCTTTATATTCTAAGCTTATTACTCAGAGAGCAGAGGCTTCAGACTTTCTAATTTATGCAGTTTAGATGGACAATTTGTCATCACGTGCCAAAGACTGGCAAGACACTTCTCTCTATTTGGAATTTAACTGTCTTGTTTTCATTAGGAAGACAGCATCAAAACAAGACAACGGATTTCTAGTAAGTATCCTGCACTAAAGGGACAAACACTTAGAGCAGGATTGCCTTGATTACAGCCAGATAAAAATGCATTTATTTAAATAGCCTTATTATCCAACATTTCACAGCATGAAAATTGTGTCAAATATCATTAACAGTTCTTAACTTAGATTTGCCATTATAACTGTAAACTTTCTGTTTTGGCACTTGCACATGGAATTGTGCATGCTTGAACTTACTTACAATCCTTAGATACAAATTTCATTTTTATCACCTGTTGGCAAGTCAACGAAAAGCCACCTTACCTTTTCTGATGCAGTGGCAAGTTTAGTACCACTTGCGTCAAATGCCAAAGCAGCCAAGGGACTATCATGAGCTGGGATCATATTAGCAGCTCTCTGCAGGAGTGAATCAATAAAATATAACCTTAGTACAGGTTGAAAGCTACATGTTTGCAGCTTAAGACTGCATATTTAACAGCATTCAAGGCAAATATGGGTCTTACTTCATGGACAACAGCTTCAATATTTGTTTCAGTAACTGCTAAGTAAAAGCACATAAAGTTAGCACTGAAGCATGCGCATAGAGAGTACAAGCACTAGGAGAATACTTAAAAGACAATTCAAATAGAAATTACTTTACTTTGCTCCACTGATTTACCCAACTCTACTCACCAAATATAGTATTAGTGCCTGTGTTTCCTTTGCCGATGTCCTGTGAAGCCTAGCTGCAAGAGCTGCTGCAAACTGACGTAGAGGAACCTAACTAAGTGTCTAGTAACTTGCTCTCCAAGCAAAATACGTCACTTCAAAAACCCACATCTTTAGAAGTAGAAACAGCATTCACAAAAGATCCTTACCAGATTGATGGTGTCAAAGACTTGTACTTCTCCAATAGTCGCACTTCCTGGATAGGCCAGGTAGCAGTTATCATTGTTTATTGATAAAGCACACAACCCTAGAAGTGATGCAGAAACAAAGTTAGAAAGAGGCAATTCCCAGACTTATGCAGCAAAACCTTCTGATTCCGCGTTTGAATATTACAAAGATAACTCAAGTTATCTTCACAGGGTATCAACAGAAACAGAACAAGGACAAATAATCTCAGAGCCAGCCTGCAACATATTAAACTATTTAACATATGTTAAAGTTTATAAGAAAGTAGGAAAGGAAGAATGCCAATAGAGCAACAATAATGGAGTCAAATTTCCCATGTCTCATGACTCCTAAAGCATTGACTAAAGCATGACTCCTGACAAAGCCTACAACTATACCGAGTGCTGGCAAAATCCAGCTTGTATCTCTACTACTTCTTTCTAACCTTTCAACACGCCTGCTCTAGGCGACCGAAATACCAGGAAGATGCAATTTAAGGCAGAGTCTGCTATTTGTTCTCAAAAACCTCACCTGGATTAAATGGGTAGGCTTTAAGACCATACCCATGTATTTAGTTATCACTTTTTTTTTTGAAGGTGGAATTAACAATGCTACAGTTCCCCGTAGGAAACTTCATACATCAACACAGAATGCACTTTTCAGAGTTTTGCTACTTTTAACAATGTCTTACCTGCAGGATTGGGAGGTGTCTCCCTGATTGTATGTAATACCTTCATGTCTCGTATGTTGTGTATATAAAGAGACTCTTCCAGACATACTATCAGCCTCTAGACATGGGAAAGAAGACAAAATGCTGACATCAAACTGGAGTTTATATTAGTTTATCAATCCTAAAAAAATTGTATCAAAAATGCAGTAGGTACCTTCCAATAGAGAAAAGGTTGTACCCACCTGATGGGAAGAAATAAGAGTCTGATAGAAGATACACAAGATACACCTCTTGACAAGGCTTCAACAGCGCAATACTACACTCGGTCACTTGAACTGACCAGTGCGCTTGACTTCTCTCAACCATGCTAGTGCAGATTGATTTAAATGAAAATTATTTACATTACTAGTTTAAGTCAGCAAGCCAGAAACCTTAATTTAAAGCTACTGAATTCTTAATCTGTAACTGCCCTTATGTATTCCCCCCCTCAAGAGGCCAATTCACACGTGGAAATAATTTTCTGCTTTGGCTAAACAGAAAAAAGACATACAAGACTTTTAACCATTTATAGAGCCTATTACTTACTCATAATCATTTGTGAGGGGCTTTTTTTTAAACTTTGATTAACTTCAACATCTCATTTGCACTTTTGTAGACTACGTCTGGACAACTAACATAATGTTACTCATTTAATGCTGCATCATTATGCCAGAAATCAAATTAGCCACTGTTTCCCCGTATGATTTTAAATGGGAATCCCATCCTCCCACACCTGATTTTTGGGGATGGGGATAGACACTAAAAAGATCCTTCAGATGCTATTCTCTTTACTTTGAGTGAACTGGTTGAAGACAGAGAAGTCTGTATTTGCAGAACAGACTCCTAATGATTTAGTAATAGAGCAAACTACAGTTCCAGGTACTTAACTAAACAATTTCACCAGTTCAGTGTGGGTTTATTTTTTTTATTTTTTTTAAAAGAATCCAGCAAACTACATTTAAAAACATAGAAAATGAATAGATAACTTTTAAGTTTAGGCCTGAACAGAAGTTGCCAGTTTCACACACTTTCACATTTAGGATCAGATGATAATTCACACTTGGAGGGACCTAAATTGGTCTCTATTCCAACCTCCTACTCAAAGCATGCCCAGATTACTTAGGGCATTTTCCTAAGTAAACACATAAACATAGAGCCAAAAATACTTGACCAAATAGGAGTGCTGAGATGCCATACAGAAGCAACAGTTGGAAAAGTACAAGTTAATTTCAAATAGTAATTCTGTCACCAAAGGAAGAGACATCAATCAGCAGAGAAAGAGCCAGAATAAGATCCACAACCCCTTCCCTTGTTTTTACCTAGTCAAAATTACTACTCACCTGTCTATTGAGTTTGACAGCCAAGATGGTGTTGGAGTAACTGTAGTTGCATATCTCTGTCCCCTTCTTAAAGTGACAAACTTTCAACTTGCGTGGAGCTTTAAGGCTAACTATGGCCACCAGACTACTGGAGAACAGCCTCTCCACAATGCACACATCTTCTGTGTCAGCTGAGGAATCACAATAATGAGGGAAAAATACAGAGGGAGATTTCAGGGAAGAAGAGTGATGCACATCAACAGGAAATACTGTCTCAGAAAGTACAGTCCACCACCACAAACATTCTGCCACAACAGCTCAGAGTCAAGGTGGGATACAGGACAGGTTTTTAAAGCAGAAAATGTACCTGGTAAATGCTGATTTACAAAGATTGCCACATCCCCCAGGTGTCATGCAAATTTACACTTCAGAACAGAGCATCTACTCCCTCCTGCCCAAAATCCAACAGCAAAAAAAATCCCAATGATACAAAAAATAGCAAATTGTCAAATTCTGGAATCTTACACTCTTATCTCCACAGAAATAGAGGAAAGCAAAGATTTTGGGGTCGGGTTTTTTGGGGGGAGTGTGTTTTGGTTTGTTTTTAAAGCTATACTATGCACGGAGTTTCTGCACACCTCTCCATGAAGAAAGAAAGGTTACTGTACTCGAAGAAGGTGATAAAGTAATTTGTTCCATGACTGCTTCAGCCACTGATTAGTGGTTTTTTGGGGGGTTGGTTTTTTTTTTTTTTGCACATACCATCTTTTACCTGACAGTCCCTAAAAACAGTTTGTACAGGAATGACTGAAGCCCAGCATGTATTTGTAGCCATAAAACAGCATTACTTTTGTCACTCATTCTATTATGGAATCACTGGAGGCAAAGGAGGAACACAAGTCACCATTCAAATTGTAGGGAAGACAGCAGGAGGGAGGAGAGAGTCCAGGATCTCTGGCGAAGCAGCACTTTCAGAACATTTGATTATAGTACAGTATTGGACCAAGTTGGTAGGAGTCCAGATCCCACCACCAGTTATGCTGGCATGTGTGCTTCTCCCTCCCATCCCCTGAAGCTCCCCTCCAAAAGCCCCAGAGACATAGTGGACATAGTTTTCACAGCAGGAGAAAGCTGGAGAAAGTTTTACCCCTCTCTGCAGCTCTCCCACAGCTACCAGCTGCATCTGCCCTTCCATTACAGAACTTAATCGAGACAAGCCACTTGAGCCTTTGGCCCTGATCCATCGAAACAACCAAACTTTTCAGAAGTCAATATCTGGATTAGCTCAATGCTTAACACATTCCAAACCATAAAGCTACCAGCAAAAAAAAAAAAAAAAAAAAAAAAAAGCAGCTTATTTCTGAAGGCTTCTGTTTTGGCCAAGAGACACATTAAATAATTAGCAGTGTTCTCATCACTAATGACAGAAATTCCCTGAAAAAAGTTCTGTCATATGCCGAGAATGTTGGACAATGTCATCACTGTGTGACATTTCTGCTTTGAAAGTGCCTTTTCTGGGCAGTTATTTCAAGAAAAAGAACAAAAAATATTTAATGCTTTACATTCTTTCAAGAGAAATAACCTCTTTATGGAAAAGGAGCAGGTTTATACTAAGCATTTTCAGTATTCTATGCAACATCATCAACTTTTATCTAAATCTTGTATTTAATATGGTACTTTTCCAGAGGAGACAAAACAGCTCACAGAGGCTTTGAAAATTCAATTTCCTCACTTCTGCAATGGGGATAATGCATTTTAGCAATGACTTTGTTTTCAAGGAACTGTTTTCCATTTTCTTGATGCCACGCACAACACATAAGAAGAAATACAAAAAAATCCACTTCAGTTAATTTATGCATAGACTTTCAAGTGCAGAGGTCCATGTGCCTTGAACCACACCAGTAACATGACAGATTCTCAAATATTTTACAGTACAGGTTATCAGCTTTCCATCTAAGTCTGGAGTCCTTCATAATAATGGCATCCTTTTGCAAGTGTCGGAAGACCTGCACACAGAAACCCAAAAAACCACAGTCTGACTGCTCCCTGCTCCTGGGTTAGCATTGCTTCTTGCCCCATTCAGGGGCAACTGCATTAAGAGACAGCTTCTGGGATCTGCTACTCTCCCAGGCAGCCAGGAGAACTGGCATTTCAGAGGAGGAACCACAGCAGAGATTCACATGGAAAAAGTGCTGTCCTGTGCTGAACTGATGGGAAGCGTAGGCAGCAGGGAAGGCACGCAGGGGAGAGCACTATCAAGAACTAAGCAGTCACAGACAGAAGAAAAAACTTTCAACAAGAAAAACACTTAAAAGGTATAGACAGTCCTTCAGTCTCACTGTAAAAAGGCTTACTATAATACAGACAGTTACCTGTAGAGAAAGGCTTTGTGATGGGCTTTTAATTAAATTCACTCGAAAAATAAAGGATGCACCTCTGTTCCTGTGTCTTCCCCTAACAGGAATAAGTGATAAAATCTCTTCACAGCTGCCAAGTCATGTATGGTACTCGAATGGTTGCTTGTTAGGAAGCATATATATATGGCTATACTGCACATCCTACATCCAGCTGACCTGAATTAACCAAATGTTTAGAAGCACTAGTTAAGTCCTATAGCAATGCTGTTAATCAGGTTTTTTTTCCTATTTTATTTTCTCCTTTGCACCGTACAAGTGAGCATTACCAGACACTCAGATTCAAATTGTAAGAACAAAAAGAAGAACTGCAAAATGATTTAAGTATCAGCAGGGAGGGAATAACAAGCAAATACATAACAAGATTACAGTTTCATAAGCACAAGCATGTAGCATCATAGACAAGAGCTGGTTAGAACCAGCTAGATTATGATCAGCCATGCTTTTATTCCATTTTTAATCCGAGAACATGAAGCATGTTATGAGCATTCATTAAGCGTTAAAGCACCCTCCAATCTAATACTTATTTTTACAGGGGGATCAACTGAGCAGGGAGTTAGGCAATTTGTACAGAGTCACAGCAGAAGTCAGTGATGGGAGCAGACAAAGAAACCTCTCATTCTTTTCAGTCATTCTCTCAAACACAAGACAGCCGGGGCATATTCTGTAGTTTACTTTAGAGACCTGCACAAGAACTGGAAGATGAATCTTACAATAGAGAAGGAATGGTCCTTAAAAGTGCTCACTCAGAACAACACAAAGCCTTTAGACCCACTTAAAACTAAATTGGGAGGCAGGAGGCACATGTCTGGGAGGCCTCAAGATACTTTTCCTTGTGGAAAGGAGGGAGCCAGTACATAGGAAGCCCTCCACCCCCCATATAAAGTTTTAAACAGGCATGGTTCGCAAGCCCAAGACTCAAAATTATTTAACTGTGTACAAAAAACAACGATCTCCAATATTTAGGTCTGCTGCAGACACTGCATGCCCTATGAGCAGAGGTCAAGGCCAGCTGGCTTACATAGTTCAAACCATCAAATTTTCTACTGTTACCTCACGTCCTGTACTCTGTATTTATGGACTTAACACTCATGGAAGGAAACTTGCAATATCAAAGAGGTTAAGCCAACACAGGTATCCCAGAACAGTTTGAAGACAAGATTGGAATCTAGCAGGTCTAGATTCTAATCCCAGCTGCTTTATCATTTTATTGTAAGATTTTGAGCAAGGCACTTTATCCAACCTGCACTTTTTCTTTCAAGGACTACCTAGAAGCAGTCCTGCAAAGTTCAGTTCCGTCTCTCCCAGTATGTTTATTCAGTGTCTCGTGTAACAGGAGTCATCTTCACGGAGTCTCCTGGGGTGGTATCAGGCCAGATACTGTAAGTGCCTAACATACTACAGAGGTCAGGTACCTAAACTCAACGGCATAAAATGGAATTCAAGCCACCGATTAACCAGTACAACCAGACCGTGACTCAAACAGGCAGATGTAGCTGCAACACAAGTTAACCTGACCACAGGTACCTAATTTGAACCTCACAATTACTTCTCTCCATTGACTGTATACAGAATCAGTCTGTCACCTAGATAATAGGTGACCTGAATCACACACCATTCTCAAACTTAAGATGCCACAGGGTCAGGTCACTTAGGGAATGGAGTCTGAAGACAGCAGCATGGTACACTGGGATCCTACTATAAATGCTGACATCATAGCTACTGGTACCAGCTGTTCACGTGGAGTTTACAAGAAAGCAAGGATACTCATGCATATCATTCATAGTTTACTTATTAGCACCTCAAAAAAGGGAAGTCTACAAGCTGCTCGTAAAACAGGATACCACTTCTCCTCCCAAGCCTCTCTCCATGTCACCTCATATCCTACTCAACTACAATCAGTATTGAGAAGTTATGGGCATTTGGATTATTCACCCTTTTGGATGAGTAAACCTGCAGCTATCATGTTAAAAGTATTTTTCTAACAGCAAATATTAGGATTAAAGAAAAAAAAAAAATCGAGGCTTGGTTTTCTTATTTGATGAAGGTGTATTAGCGGTTGCCTTCCGCAATAGCCAGTATAAAGACCCAAAAGATGCTCTCACACCAATAAATTTTTATTTTTGTGCCCAGCTGCTACATAACCCAGCTATCAGACATAAAATTAGAAAAGTGAAGAGTTCTCCTCATAGCTATTACCAGATTTCACAACATACCAGCTAAATTTAAATACAGAACACTGATATATATTTTTACCCTGGCAGCAATTCTTTTGTATTTGTGTGATATTTCATCAAACACTTAAGGTTCCTCTAATGTCAATTTCAAACAACCTGTGAAAAAAGGAAACATTTTATTCTTCCCAAATTAAGCCAATTGAGGGGATTAAAAAAAAAAAAAAAAAAAAAGAAAAGAAGATACTCACTGCATTCATAGATCTGCTCTAATTTGTCCACAGAAGAAAGAGAGAAGAATTTGTAGCCCGACTTACTGCCAACTGCAAGGGATCTGAAAAAGAAACAAGCCAGTCAGGAACATAAACTAAATTGGCTGTGATTACCCTTGGCCAGATTCTTACCCTATTCTAAAACTCCAGTTGTGTTAGCTCAGTAAGAAAAGCGATAAAAAGCTTGACCAAAAAAAGCCATGATAGACACAGATCGCTTCCTCAACTCTGAAAGGCCAAATAGCTTCAGAATCACCCCAGGTGTGGAATCCTGCTTCACATTTTATGCAATGAAGAGTTCACAGCTTAATACAAGCCTACTGCCCAATTCATACTGGTGATTTCTCCACACAAACTAAAAGCTTCAGCATGGAAGAAAGATGATGACTTGAATAATGTAATGCAAACCAATTACATCATTGCCTCATCATTAGAGGTGACCTCCAAGACCTTCTAAACTGGGCTGTCTGGGTGTTTTTTGATCTTTATACTGTAACCTTCCCCAACCACCCCAAAAGAGCTTTCATATTAAAAAAAATAAAAAGGGAATTAAAGACTGCCAACTCCAATTTTCTCTGGTTTTATTTGATGATATTCTAGCACCTCCAAAGAACATTGTTAGGTCTCAGGCTTACAAATATTCATGCCGAATCTTTGATCAGAGCCGCCCTCTTAAAAATGCTAGTCACTGATGTTCAACAGATTTTAACAATAGCAGAATATAAAAAAACTGACTACAAACCCTTCTTTCCTCCATTACTCAATTTTCACACTTAGCTCACAGACCATTTAATTGCTTTTCCAGTCAGAGTCAAAGACAGGTCTTAAATTTTAAGCTAGAAAAACCTTTAGGCTTGTCTTGCAGGTCTTTACACATCAAGGCAGCAGACAATGGCACGTTTTTATTTTCCCCTCCCCATGTGGAGGATGATTTTATGCCACAGAACAAGAAAATTAACAGCCAATACAGTTGTGCAGAACTGTATTAGTATGCTTATAGTTCATATATTTCTTACTGCCAGGTCACATGGAGAAAAACTAATTAAATTCCAATAAAATGTATTTCGATATGGCGAACTGCGGCAAGTCATTCAATACAAGGCTCAAACCCAACCCTGCCAGCCAGCCTGCCAAAATGCCCTTGTGAACTCAGCAAGATGATTCTCTGTAATTCAGATGCACTAACAGTTAGTTCTGCATTTTGAATACAATACAGATTCCTAGATTTCTTGCTCTTTCTTTATTTTCTTCTCATGGCTCAGAAGTGAGCCCTTTTTAAACTTCAAGGTATCTGGAAGATTAAAAATTGTTCCTCAGATGGGTTACCCTCTGAAATTAAGATCCCAAGCTACAAAATCAACTTCTGTATGATGGTATGACCTTCTCTTCTAGAAGAAAATTACAACCGGCACAGTCCGGTTAAGAAATTATATTTGAGAAAGTTTAAACCTTCAAATTAAAATATGCACCACCCAGACAAGAGAATTAAGCCTCCCCAGATTCAATAACCAAGATATTAAAAAAACCCCAAACATATTAGGCTTAGAGATGGAGAAGCAACTATACAACAAAATTTTGTTGCTGCTCCTCTAAGTTGCCTTAGAAATACTGAATTTAATTTTACTTCAGGCAAAATCAGTATCTTCAGCAGACTATATCTGATCAGTTGCCAAAGACTCTTCAGTGTTTTTCCTCAACTACTTTTGTACAGCTCAATGAAAATCCAGATTCTGTGAAAAAATATGAAACTAATTTGGAAAAAAAAAGTAGTGAGTTAGCTTTTCTTGGATCATCTACTGCTTCCCTCTAAAGAAAGTTTAACAAAGAATGACATTAAAACTGTCACTTCACATAGGTAAACAAGCACTCGACTGAGTTAAAAATAAACGGTCACAAGACTCCTTGCAATATCAACGATCTACAAAAGACATGGGATGATTTCCTCACAGAGAATTCCACACAGCAGCTATTTGTGAGTCTACTACTAGGCAGAATTGATTCCTGGTTTGTACTTACAGCTTTAAACACAGAATATTGCTGCATCACTGCTTACTGACAGCATCACTGAAACCAGTCAGCAAGACCATTTTTCTTGCCCTACCGACTACCTATACCTCATTTAAATAAGCTTTAGACAATGGCAAAAGCGAGTTGTATACATGATAAATATCATTAGACTGATTAGAAGCCAAAGTGAAGAAGCACAGAATGGACCTTTCCATCCATGGCAACTACTTTTTGTTATTTCTTTCAGGTTCAAGATGATGAAGTCACAAATCATCTGTTTACACAGAACAGCTCGAGCCAGTATAATTAAACCCATTTCAGTCTACAAGCATAACTGCAAACCCACCCATTTTTCTTCGGAACAGCACTCTTGGTTTTGGAGGGTTTGGGTTTGTTTGGGTTTTTTTTTAATGTACTCTCAAATTACTTCTTATGAAACTACTGGAAAAAGGCTTTTTATATGTAATAAGAGAACTCACTAGGCTGAGTTATACCAGCATAATCATAATGATTTAAATCCCCCATCTTCCCCTGCACCGATATTACACTTAAGCCCTTAAGACACCTGATAGTTATCTGAATGACCAAATCCCACAAAACAAGTATCTAGCCAAAATTACCTCACCTCCAAAAAAATGTGTAACCATATGGGGAAGAAATATGATCAATAAGTATTCAGCTATTGCTCAAATAGAGAGCGGCCAAGGAGAAGCTACTGTAGTTTATCAGAAGCTTCTTTTACAACGTGGTTGTTATGCTTTATTATCGCCAATTTTCAGAAGCTGATGAGAGACTGAAATTGAAAATAAAATCAATATCCAAAAAAATTGCCTTTTTTCTTCTAACATAATGCTACACACAGGTGTTTTTTTAGCTCTATTATGTGTAGCCTCTATTACACACCTTAGATTGTAGGCTTTGAGCTATTTCATCATCAAGGTTGTCTACTCAGTAGAAAATTACCAATATAGCCATGATTTATGAAACTGTGTTTACCTCCTTTTTTCAAAGGTAATACTGTACTCTGATCCAAGACTACATAAATCTTGAGAGTATTTTCAAGTGTGGCTGTCATAAATAATTAAAACTAACCTCATCAAGCAAACAGTGTTATGAGATGTTTCACAATGCTGACATTCACTCTGAGTGCACTCACCTAGAGTGGGAAATCAGCTGGTTCAATCTCTCTGGCTCTTTAGAAACAAGTTTTTTCAGATGACTTAGAATCATACAGGTTTTCTTTTGCTTCTTTAATATACATGCAGAAGGAAGAAAACTAGTTTTTCCCTTTCCATATCATAGAGGACCTTAACCATTAATCAGAAATATTGTACATTAATCAGAAAGATCCTCCTAAGGGCAGCTTTCTCAGATTAAAATCAATTGCAGCTGCAGTACAAACATGACTCCAGAAGTCATTATTATTTTAAATAACTGGCTAATTAAACCTCCTTTCATTAAGATACAGTCTCATTATACTAATACTCCACCTCACTTCAAAACCAATGTAAAATTCCAAAGACAAAACATTTTGTGAACAAAGGCCTATGATAAAGAGGGGGGAATAATAATAAAAGAAAAAAAAAAAATCAGTGAAATTACGTAAGAAAAGAATCACTAAGGAGACTTATTTTGCCTTATTTCCCCGTCCCAAATGTCTGCTGAAACCAAAGTTGTAACATCTTACAGACATGTCTTAAAAGAAAGGTCATTATTTTGGACAAGAGCTAAATACAGAAACTCATACGTTCAACAGATTTATCAACAACACTCTTGACAACCCACAGGAGATTTTGCCATCATTATTAGATTAAAAGAAAACCGACACAAACTTAAATCTGCTACAGCAAAAGGAGACCACGCGTGCTCATCAGTTAATATGCAGCAATAGGCTGGGACAACAGAAAGTTCATAATCCAAGTGAACGTCACTACTGCCAGGCAGACTCTGTCCAGGTTGTCACACACTGAGGAACAGTTCCTCTGGTCCAGATTCATCAGGCAAGCCCACCTCAGCTGCTACCTCCACTGCAACAACAGCGGGTAACACAACATGCGATTGCTTCTCTCAGCTATCTTCCCTGAGCACGAGAGCTACGTGATTGCTCTTTCCTTCCTTTTTTTTTGGTTTAGCTTTAAAGCCTCCTTGGAATAAAGAACTCTCCTGTCCTCAAGGATCACGGGTGAATGACACCTGAACCTAGGAGAAACAAAGGCAGAGGAGTGAATGCTCAGCACCTAACCCTTGTTCCTCTCACCACAAGCAGTTTACTACAGAGATCCAAACATCACATGGTAAGGGAATTATAATACAGCTTCTACAACATGAAGCATGCTATACACCTCTAGAACTAAAAGCATTTGCTCAGAACATAGAAGAAAACTTATTTATTTGGGCAAAACCCAGCAGAATTACATCAGAAAGAACACGTATATATGGACAGATACCTGTCACATATAACTCCATACATAAATGAAAGCTGAGACTAAAGATGACCTTGCAAATAAGGTGTACACCAGTGTTTTCATTAGAAATCCAGATGCAAGGCTTGATCTTGTTCTTGCTTCAGGAGTCTATTTTCAAAACTACAGTGACTATTCTGTTTCCAAGTGCTGTCACTTGACTACTTGTTTTTAAAAAGGTGGCTGAGACTTCTCCACACTCTGTCAACTTGCATTATTTCACAAGTAGGTTCTTTGGGTGGTTTTTGGTGGGGGTTCTTTTTTTTTTTTGGTAAATTGAATCTGAAGACCATAGACGTTAATTTTGAAATTTTTACAAAGTCATTTCTCAGCGAATATTTTGGTAATAATTTAAAGACTGAAAGTTTTACCTATTTTATAGATAAATATAAAGTGAGATCTTGAAGTTATGTTTTGGGTAAAAAGTTATATACTTCTATTATATTACACATTTCCCTTATGGCTTTTATGAGTTTAATTTTTCCTAAACATATCCATGCTCAGTTTTAGTAGTTCTCCCAGAAGTAATACAAACAGCACTCGAGTTTAAGTGGTACTTTTTACCAAATATGTATCATTAAAGATTTCTGATTACTAAAACATACCTAGCACCGAGGTCACCTGCAAGCTTCTACTGCATGGTTTTGCTAGGATACCTGAATTCTGATTGGTTACTTCCATTTCAACTGCAAGCTGCAGCTTCTGCTTCCCAATCGGAGAATGCCAGTCATGCTCAGTTGTGCAATGATTGATTCACTAAGGAAAAGGGCTAAGTCCAAAACAAGCATGCTAACATCTTCTGAAAACTACCTTCTCCATGTTTTTACTTAATGAAAACATACTGTATCAAAGGGAACCCACAAACCAAACGCTTCTGCTGCATTATAGGTGGAGTGTTTTCAGGCAGAGTTCCAATCCCAGCCAATAACTCAAAACTCTCATGTAAATAAAGCTTAGGGCAATATGGCATAGAGAGGCAAGACACCACTTGCAATAACATAGATACTATTCCGAGAGACACTGTCAACATCTTTGAATGAACATTAAAATAAAAAGCTAAGTCTGGGAAAAAACCCAATTAAAAGCAAAACATAGGGTATCTGCTTCAGTCACTACGGACTGCAACAACTGGGACAAGCAACAGCAACTTTTATGTTGACAACATTCTTCTGACTACCAGTAATCCAATTTCCCAGGACTAAAAGCCACCATGAAGCTCATCTCCTTCCTCCAGGAGACAATAATTAATTACCAACCCTTCATAAAGCTTAGGAAAAGTTAGCTGGATACCTATTTTTACCAGCAACAAGTGCCACCTTTTCCTAACACAAGGCAATTGGCTCTGCTGTCCAGGTAAGCAAGACACATTTGAGCACGAGTGGAACTGGCACCTTGTTAAGTCCAAGGTAAAAGCTTTAAATGTAATAACAACAATGCACCCAAGTCATTTACTTTCCAGTTTTGTCAGCGATTTTTCTCATTACTGAAGCACACCTTAAAACATGATGCTAGCTCTACCAACTGGGAAGATGTAAACAAAGCTTGTCTTTCATATACTGGCTGAAAGAGCTTGCATTTGTTTACGTTGCCTGTCTGGAAAACTACTCCAGTTACTTGTAATACAAGTTGAAAATAAGCAAGCGTTCTGAGGCCCAGCATGGGAAAATGTAATTTATTCCTAATATGTTCTTTGCAGCTCTTCTCACCCAGTAAGTGGTGATGGCTTTATTAGTATACTGATCTAGAGATCAGAGAGTTGAATTCTTGTTTCCCTATTCAAATAAGAACTAAGAAAAATCACGGGTGGGGAAAAAAAGAGGGGGAAAAAAACCTGAACAACTTTAGTATAAGGTACTTACACAATCACTGAATTCTACTCAGTTAAAGAACTAGAATGCAACTTGGTTATTTGGGTCACTTACCACATCAGCCAAGTGTTCAGTAAGGAGCTGCTCGCAAAGATGTCTGCAAGACTTATTGTTTCACACTTCCTACTTTTCTTGGAGAGGTTTCTTTTGAGACAGTATTAGAAAGAAGGGATACTTACTCAACATCATCCAACTATCTCATTTGTCTCAAAGTAAGTGGCCTTTTATACTGTTCTCGTAATTTCAAGACAGAAAATTGTCAACAGGAGCCTTTTTCTATTTACGTCATTTCTACAACAGGTATCTGAAAATGCAGAAATATGCCAAGATGACAAGAAAGACTGTGATTTGGGATACAAAGAGATATATGGGCCAGGTCTCGATCACATAAAAAGATAAATCAAGCGATCAGCAAAATTCTCTTGTCAGATAATCTAAAGTCTATATAAAAATATATATTTTTTTTTAAATCTACTGACACAATGGGCATTAGAATGCTGAAGACCAAAAGAATCAGCTATAGCACAGAAACTGAAGAACACCTTTGGATATTTATGAAAATGAAATAGGAGAAGTAGCAGAGTAGCATACACAGTTGAGGATTAGCAAGACAGAAATCATTAGTCACTTGTCCCTTTTTTCCCCACAAATTCAAAGTTAAAAAAGAATCACACTCTACTCTTCCTTGAAGAAAGATTTCGAGGTGTACAAGCCAAAGACCACCTAGGTAAGCTTATATTACATTTGCTTTCTTTTTACTTCTGTCTTTGGTTTGTTCTCAAGTCAAGCCTGCAGCTCTCTTGTTCAGAGTAATTTTTTTTTTTGTCTCAACTCTGATCTTTTAAATATATACAGCTCTCCACTAAGCTAAGGTGCAACTGAAAACAGGTGGTTGCTTTAAGGAAGGAGAAATAGTAAAGCTTTTAGATCACCAAGTTGGACAGCACAGTTTAAGTTAAAAACTTGTATTATATAATGACCTTTGTAAACTGCAAAAGAAAGGGCTGACATTTCCTAGTTATTACGACTTGTTTTATCTAGTAGTAGGTAAAAAATGGATGGTATCTGAGCAAAACATGGGTATGTTTTATACACAGAATGACAGGGCGAGCTCTACATGGTACTCAATGAAACAACAAGAAAAGTAGTTGCAAAAGTCTTTGGCTCAAATCAACATATGGATAATGATTTACTTACAAATACATAGAAGACTATTGCTTCCCCCCCCATCATTTCAAAAGTTATTTACTGTTAAAGTTTGTCTCAAGTCTATCCAGCTCCACTTGTTCATCTCTAAAACCCCCCCAAAATGCTACAAAAGCAAACAGAGTATTTTCTTCTGCTTTCTCCTCAATCTTGGCAGTCACCATAAATAATCTCGCCTTCACAATTCACATGTGCTACAGTACATGCGGAGGACAAAGATCTCTCTTGCGAGGATAAGGTAACGTTGCTTGTAAAATGAGCAAGTTGTTAACAGAAAAAACCACCACCACACACGTGGATTATGCTCTGTGATGCCAACCTGAGATCACTTCCTCTTACTCACTTCCTAAAACAAAACTCCTCCTCTCTCAAGTTCTTTCGGTTATTGCCCCCTCCGTTTCACCTCTTAGGTATTTAAGACAGTCAAATCCTTCTTTAGTGCTCCAAGTCCAACTATTAGGGATTTCTTAAATTGAAAAATATTGCTTGTTAATACCCCATATAAAAACTAACATGCATTAATCCATCTAAATATGCTGCAACAGTTAAATAATTTGCAAGATGTGCAGCATGAACTTTCCGACCCTTTCTAGAACCAAAACACGAATAAGTCCAATTTCAAGGACTACGTGAGAAAGGCCTCTTTTTCAAAATCAGAAGCATGGGCTCATAAAAATTCCTTTAAGCCTAAGGCGTACTGCCACAGGTGAAGATAAAAGGGCTGCATGAAAAGATAGCTCTAATAAGCTTTTGGATGAAGCCTTTGCACCACCTCGAAGGCTTGGGTCTTCCTTCACGTTCTCTCAGGCTCTCCTAAAGGCTGGACATCGTCGAGAAGGAAAACAAGCCCTCCCTCCCCTTCCCAAAGCAACAGCGAGCAATGCCCCTCCAGTACGAGAAGGGAAAGCTCCCCAGGGCAGCAGCCCGGGGGAGGGAGAAGGCAACATGCTGCCCCCGCGCCCGCAGCCCCTCAGCCCCCTGCTG